CAGTAGACAAATGTTACTCAAAATAAAATTGAATAAATCTTCATTTCTTTTGTTTCCCAAAGCATCTTTAATGATCAAACACTCAATCAAAAATAATATTACTGTAATTTTAAAAATGTGATAATGCAAATGACATCTGAAAGTAAGAAATTGTAGAATATATCCACGTTATTCTACTTAATATGACTCGAACAACAAACGAGGCATGAACAGGAGTTGAAAATCATTTATTATCGCAAAAAGGTTCCCCAAGAGCAATAAAGTAGAAAGAACAAGAAAGAACTTTTACTTATTAACACAAAGGCATTTACAAAAATGTATGTATAAAGAAAAAAAAAACATGGTTCCTGTTTTAAGTAATCTGATAATCAAACAAAGCATTAAATTTCAAAAAATTCTTTTTTATTTATATTTGTGTAGGATAAACAGAGAATTAGATTATCTTGTCAATAAATAGTTTCAAAAATATCCATTGCTTAAAGTACTAAAATTCCATTTAATATTTATCTGATAATATATTATAGATAAAAGAAAAAGAAAACCCAATTACACACTTAAACTAGGTTCCTAACTCAAGCATGTAGCATTATTAATTTAAGGAAACAGTGCAGAGAAATTATTTTAGTAGAAAAACTCAAAGCAAAAATTAAATAATTCAAAATCACATATTGTCTGTTATAATAATAACACTTATAAAACGTAATTGTTTTTTTCAATACAAGTGCAATTATTGGAAATTATATAATTTTCTGGTAAACTTGGTTTCCCATCTCTTGCAACTTTTATGACATTTTAGTGTCTGTATTCGCAGCTAAGGATAAAGAGTTAAAGTTAGAAGTTAGCCAATAAGCATTCATGTACTATAAGTAAAGTGAATGGTAATTAGTTAACTTTAATTCTAATTCTTGATCCTTGGTTGTAAATACATCTATAAATCTGTTTACAGAAGAAAAATAAATCAAATAATGAATTTTTGATAGTCACTTATAAATTTTTTAATTTTTAAAAATATTTATTAAGATACAAAAAGAAAAAAATAATATCAATCAGTGAAATGAACTTATTTGACTCTTTAAATAGCCATTTTCAAGTTACAATGTAAAACATTTTGTAGAGAACTAATAAAGCATGCATACAAACTTAGTTAAGACAAAAAGAATTAACCAAGCTTAAAAATTACAATAAAAATGAATATAAATTGGTCTATCTTATTGCTGAATATTACAGGTTTTTGTTTCTTTATAAACAAATTGCAATAATAAAATTGTTTATCTAAACAATCTCTCTTTTAAAAAAGAAAACTTCTGAATTATAAATCACATCTGGAAGTAACAAAATATAAATAATTCTATCTCAATAGTAATAATTTATCAACAGAAATCATGTAATAAAAGCCATAAAATTTCATTTGTCGATAATTTAAATTTACATACATAAAAATAAATATTTTGTATCAACTTAGAAAACTTTTAGGAAGATGTTTTAAATATTGAATGCCATTCACAAATCTAAATTGACTATTAGTGGCTGTTAGACATTGCCATTTGTTTCTATAGCAATAGATGACATTCCAGTCAACTTTTGTGGAAAGACAAGTTCTGCTAGCAAAAAAATTATTAGCATTATACACTACGGAGAGCAGGTGGAAATCTACGGTTAACAAAGATTCGATCTGATGTACCATAAAAAAAACAGACCGTCACGTTAATGTAACTAGGTCGGCTATTTCGACAATGAATATAGAATTTACAACTTTAAACCAATTAATCTAAATATAATCATAAATAAAATAGTAAATACATTCAAAGTATATAACATTTAATGGAATATAAACATCCTAAGGCAAGACTCTTAATTGATTACTTAATTTTAATCAATAAAAGTTTCTAAAAGAATTTCCTATAAAATCCATTTACATACATTAACTAATTATACATCTCCCTGTATAACTTCTAAAATGTAATACAGTAGCTAGAGCCTAAATTTTAACTAGGTATATAGAGTATATATAGCAAGAACTAACAAATTACATTGTAACTGTAGTAGAATGACCCAGAACATTACAGATTTAAATCTGATACGGGACACAATAAAATAATCATCAAGTGAAGAAGTTAGCAGCTGGCAAGGGATTAATAGAAATATACTAAGATACAAATGCCCTGTTGGAGTTTAATCATGCATTAATTGAAGGTAAGGCTAAAAGTGGCACAGTTCTCACAAGAAAAGTATTATATTAATGCCATACACCTTTCACAGGTCATTCTCATAATACTTTATGCATAAATGTATAGAAACAATATACTCTACACAAGAAGCTAATTTATTAATCCTTAGAGCCAATAACCTACAATTTATGCTAATCTGAACTCGACCTGCACCTTCAAATTATTAAATATATCATTATCATTTACAATATGACAAGGAGAATTCATTAATTCAATTATAACTTATTAGGTTCCTTAAGTTTCATATTCAAGTGTATTAAAATTGAGAATTGTTATCCTGATAAAATTCAATAAGACAAAATATTTTTCCAGAAAACAACGAAATATAAGCGAGTTATTATATTTATTCATTTGTTAAAATCTATAAAACACGTACTGTGATATTTACTACACAAAAAATGAATCTATTTATAGAAATGAAGCCAATTTAAGACAGTAAATTTATTATTTTCAAACAAACTTAATGATTTTTTTTAAATATATAAATTACTTAGTGTTTATGGATGTAAAATAAAACATAATAAACTGTTAAGATTAAATTCTTTATACTTTTTAAGGTTATTACACAGACTTTAATTAACAGAATAATTTATTAATACAAAAAAAAAAAAAAAAAAGCATCTGTATATGATGTGCATGAATACAATACAATTTTACAAGTGTTACGTAGAACAGCTGCACAATCACTTGTAAAATATCCCAAAAAATTTGAATTTGGAACAAATTCAAGTAAATTACAAAATTACCTTTCTGTTCTCATATAAAATTTTCCCTGGGAAATTACTGTTTAGTCTTTTGATTTGGCCACCTTTACGAAGGATTTTATAGTAGACGAATCAATAGCTAGATCTCTAAAGGGCAATTTTACAATTCTTTATCTAAGCAGAAATCTATAAAAGATGGCCTACTAAATATAATACTTTTACATAACTAAAAAGTATTGATTAAAGGAATAATGATGATATACACATATCAAGGATATCCACCAACTGACTCATAGGAAAAGTAAGAATTACAATTCATTATTATGCAATTTATTTCTAGGAATATAATGCAATCCTATCTCGAAATAATAAAATTTACTATAAATACACAATTTTATAATAATTCATTTACTCAGAATATCCTAAAACATGTTAATGAATATAAATTAATTTAATTCAAATAGATTTCATTTTTAAATAGTCATTTCTTACAAGGAAATTGAAAACAAATTTTTAAATGATATATTAAATTTCAAACTCTATTAATGAATGTTAATATCATCAAATTTCAAAAGAAATTTGCTAATGATAGAATTTCATCCTAAACTTTTGTAGAATAAATGAAAATTCAATATAATTCCTCGGAGTTAAGGGAAAACAAGCACTCTACATTACCCGAAGTAATGTTTACCAAATTTTTCTTTCTTTTTTAAGGACTAATCTGTTAGAGAGAGTGCAGGTTTCATACCAGACACAACTATTGTAAATCTCTCTTCACATCCTACCTTATACATAATTTAAGAAACACAAAGAACTTCCCTAATTACAAAAACAATTGGAAACATTAATCATTATTGATTAGTACTTTTGCAAACATAAAGCAACAAAGGAGATAAGAGTATCTTGGAACAATCAATTAGTATCATTCATTTTAACCAGTTGTTTGTAATGATCAAATCGAAGGAATTATGCCCAAACTATATATCGATTCAATATTCAAAACCATAGTTTTTAACGAACTTCTCTTACGTTAAAAGAAAAAAAATGCATTTATTTGACGACAGAATTATTTGACCCACAAATTAAGTTAAAAAAATAAGTGGACGACTTGCAAATCGCCGAAAATTAACAAATTCCCATTACCAATCTTACTTGTTTACACGATTTTGCAATAATCTTAATCTCAACTCTTTTTTCCTCTAATTAAAAATTGATTAGACGGCGTACTTAGATTATTGATTTCTATCCAATTTGGCCGGCATCGGACGATATCTAAGGCACGTTCGGGCAAAGGGATTTAGAAGATCGGCAAATACCGTTCCCTACAATTCGCCTCTAAACAAAGCATAAAAACTTCTTAAAGGAGAGACAAAAAAACAGGTCCAAACTCCACAGAATGCGAATAGAGCCGATAACATTTGCCCAAAAGATCCTAAATAAATTAGTTTAATTAAATAAATTTTTTTTTCTAATTTTGAGATAAATTTTAATTAAAACAGAGATCACGGAAGGGGGCAAGCATTTAAATTACCTCAAGATCTGGATGTAATTTAAATTGTTTAGATCTTAACAATGTGTTCATGTTGTCAGAAAGCCCTTGATCTATTTAACATTTCACACCTTAATAATAATTTTAATGATGAAGCAATGAATTACATTAACTTTTAATCTTGTAGAGCTGGAAATATAAAATATTTTAATTAACAATTTAAATTTTTGCACGAGATCATAAGAAACAAAGAAGAAGAAGGAAAAAAACCCCTATTGGGACAATTGGAATTTAAATGAAATTGATTAATTTAAAATGTAATTGATCTGAAAAGCCACGTGATACATTTTTAAAGTTCGGAACGGTTCCGAAACGTTTTTTTCAACATCGAAAACACTTAAAATATGCAGAATCTCAGGCATTCAACCCAACTATGCTTAACCAACCTTAAAGGATGATCATTGTTACTTCGAGACGACCGGACGCGATTATTTTAACGTGTAACGCGTCGATAATACGTAGAAACTCGTCTACAACCCTTAAACTAACTTTACCGACGATTTAAATTCGAAAACTGACCTTTATAATTATCCAATCTTGTAAAATAAATTCCGAAAGGAGCCGTGTAGCCTCTCTTCCTAATATCAACCACCAGCCCGACGGCTGACGAAAGCAATCTTCGTTCATTGGTCGATATTATTGTCCTATTCCGGGCGATGGCAGATACGTTTTATTTATTTATTCGATTTTTTTTATTTATTATTTATTAAATGTAAGACATAAATTATCGGTTTAAGTAATTACGTTTATTGTTAATAAATCATTCGCTGATCGAAGATATACGTAACGTTCGTTTAAAATGCGGGATTGATGTTTTCCAGTCTAGACGATGTGACCGAATTGTCGTGTTCGTTGTTTTTTCCTTCGTTGTTTATACCCGATTTTAATCTTATCTAAACTCTGTAGAAGTGCTCGTGAACTAAATTGTGTTCTGCACTTCGTTAAATTTTCCAAGTTTTTAACTCGAAGCCAATTTTTATCTTAGAGGTCGTCGGCACTTGATTAGTAGTACCTTAACCCGCATGTACACGTCCTGTCAATGCTGGTTACCTGGGTCTAAACACAATTCGTTCTTAACCGTGTTTATCGTAGATTTAACGGTGGAAGATAAATGAAATTGTTCGTCTTTTATGACGTTTACCAGATTTCGTATTAGAAAATGTTTTTATTCCGATAACAAATTGGCTATCGAGTGATAATGTCACTGTTTTTTTTTAATAAATTTAGAAAATTTCAGCATCGTCTCGCGTGTAATTTGATGTAGACATGACATAACGTGGAATTACTCAAAATGAATAATAAATTTTTGTTTTATATTATACTTAATTATGCTTAGTTCTTACCAAAGGAATGACTCTGGTAATGACTAAGCATGTAAGTAAATACATTTACATAAACATTTTATTATTAATATCACTATTAACAAGGTAAATTTATCAGAGATTTCCAGATAAGAACCAAGTTATATAGATTTTGTATTATTTTATGTTTAGATCTTTTTAGTTCTTATCAAAATTATCTCTGGTAAGTTTATTGATAGTTATAATATAAAATAATTTTATATAAATATGTGCAATAATGACAAAATTTAGCTTTAAAAATTTTATTTTAAATATGCTGTGTTATGTTATATATGCATATTGTTTACATATACAGTATTATTATTGTTATGATATAATGCATCTATATTTATCAATATATTGATGAGATTATAGTTATTTAACTTGTAAAAAAATATCAGTTTTATTTTAACTATGTTTTAAAAATTTATAAAAATATATGACACGATAAAGAGAGAAATTTTTTTAAGAAAGTTTAATATAAAATTCTGTGCTTTAATAAATGTTACATCCTATCATTTAACTAGCAGTTTAATCTATGTACTGTACATTTATCTGGTCAATAATTGATTAATAATGATAAATTGTACTTGTAAGTGGATGTTTGCTTCAATTATTCGATAAATGTAAATATTTCTTGAATAATAAATACTGTACTTCAAGCTGTTTGTCAACAGTTTTATAAATGCCAAAAACAACTGATGAAAAAATAAATATAAAATTTGTTTTGACTGTAATTTTTGTTTTAAAGTTATATATCAATATATATAATCATAAAGCATTTCTATATAATTAAATATAGTTATAATGTAATAAGATAATTAAATTTCTTGAAATGTTTCCAATTGCATGAGGCCCTAGGCAAGAGTTGACTTACAAGGCCCAATAACGTAAAGACTGTATCACATAACAATTGTTGTAATATTGTCTAGGACAAAGATTTTCAACCTTTATCACTCCAGTACCACCTGAGCCTTCTGTGTATACAATTGTAGCACTAACAGATCTTTCTTTCGTATGTGTACCACTGGTTGAGAACTACTGGCGTAGGAATCTAATCATGGATCAAGCGCTGAATATCGAGAATCACATAATTATGTATCTGAGGCTCCTAGGAGCATAAAGCCTTAGGTAAAAAACCTGCTTTACGTGCCTAAAAATGTCACCCAGTATACAATTACAGTAGGTTTCACTGTAATTGTAAACCTGTCCAAACGGAAGATGAATAAGACGGAAACCTGGCCTATACGGGAAACATTTTTCGGAACGAAGTGATTTTTCTGTTAAAAAAAAAACCTATTTAAAACGAAAACCTGCCAAACCGGAAAAAATATTCGGTATCGTGCGATTCCGATTTACACAGGTTTTACTGTATATTATGAAAACATTTTATGCCAATGTCATATACAATAAAACCTGTCCAAAACGGAAACCAGCCTGGCATTCAGGCTAGTTTCCGTTTTGGACAGGTTTCGGAACGGAGCGATTTTTCTATATTAAAAAAAACCCGAAAAAAATATTCGATAACGTGCAATTCCGGTTTACACAGGTTTTACCATATTTTCAAGCAGAAATGCAACGAGACGCTTTAAATGGTAAAAACATTTTTTCCGTATTTTTTTATTTATTATAAAATTTTAAATAAAATTATAAAATAATTAATAATAAATTTATAAAATAAACAAATTACTTTTTATGATGCCATTACAAAAAAATCAAGCGAGCACGTGCTATTTATTTATTTATTTTTTTATTTTTATTTTTTGAAATTTTTTAGGGGGCGTTCGTTCTCTTGCCCTCTGAGGGCGCCAATATGACCATTAAAATAATATTTATACTACTAAAAATTTTTTTTTATACAGTTACATATAATTTTAACGTAATAAAGCAAAGAAATATCCCTATTATAAATTTAAAATATATTTTATATTTTTAATGTATGATGAATTTGAATCTAAATTTTTGAATGAATTGATGGGCAAGGTCGGCAATAAATTCACAAAGGCCGGCCATCTTCATTTTAGATTCGAATGAAAACTTTTTGTATTTTCATTTCAATACATTGTAAATTCATATATTCACTAATTTAAAATTCGCTTGGAGAGAATGGCGACGTGATTGCTTTAAAGCATTAAATAAAGCTACAGTTTTATAAAATTTGTCCGCCATTTGTAGGTATCGCGTAATTATAAACGGACTTATTTCAATTAGGTTTAATAGTATAAAATCTATTTAATATTTATATTCGTGATGAGTACATTAAACGTCATCGATTTTCTTAAAAACATGACTTATAATTAAGGAAATTAATTATTCTTTTGTAATTTATATATTAGCGACTTTTTATAATACCCAATCGCCTTGTTGTTTAATTAAAGCGAAAGTAACGTCATTAAACGTCACTTTTTTTTTGAAATTTACTGATTATAATTCTTAATAAATTCCACAGATGTATTTATACGATACAATTTTTAATGTTTATTATTAATTATAAAATTATTACTTTAAATACGAAGTTTGTTAGCAATTTAATTCCATTTAATATAGCATTTCAAAAGGCACGTTTGATTGGCTACGATAGTGCATATATTTACGAAACGTGACGTCATTTTTTAGAATTTCTCATTAAAAAACTGAAGAAATGACGTCAAATTGACGTAAAAATTTTTATTATCCCAACCAAATAGAATCGAAATTACGAGTAAATTTATTGCTAAAAGCACCATCTATTGGCCATTTTAGTTCGTTTTAATTCGATTTAAATCTATAAACACTACTAGAAATTTAATTTTTAATAAATTTACTATATTTATAAATATTATATTAATAGTTGTATACTGTCAATTGGCATAAAAGTATTATTTACAGAACAAATATCCGTAAATGAATTTAAAAATTCATGTAAATTAATTATTCAGAAATATCTTTATTTAAAAAAACTACCGAAATTATAGGTTTTTCTTTAATGTACATCTTTATTAATCGATTAAAAGATCATTAAATTTTAAAATAAAAAAAAAACAATAATAATTTAAGTCTCATTAATTTTATTTTTACTCGATAGATGTCGTATTATAAAAAATAAGAAAGAAAATGTTTGTTTACTTCCTTACTTAAGAATAATTAAATTATATTATTGAGTTCAATTAGAATTAAAAAAGAAAAAATATCCTTAAATACTACAAATGGAGAGTAGACTTAAACTTGATTTAAATTTCATTTTAATGACATCACCGATGACATCAGTTATACATCATTAATAGATAATTTAATGATGTCGGCGATGAATAATTTAATACCAAGAATAAATGTCAAGTTTATTTTTAATCATTAAATAGTCACGTATTACATTTAATTATAATTAAGAAGTAAAAAAAAAATCATTTAGAAAGTGATAAAAATGTATATATTCTTAGTATACAATATAAACCGAATGGATTACGCGTCATATGTGTCATATGTATTGAAAATGACTTAATTTCAAAAGAATTTAATAACACAAATCTATCTAATATTTATAATCACGACGATGACATTTCGTTCCATCGATTTTCTTAAAGGCATTATCTTAATTACGAAAATTAATTAGTTTTTCCAACTTTTTTAGACTCTTAACTTTTTTGTAACATATAGCCACCATGTTGTTAATTAAACAATTGAAATTGATAAACGTCATAAAAAATCATATTGTGTTTTATTTATATGATGATAAACAATCATAAACCACAATTATTCCCGTTATCTGTGTAATCTTACATCCCAAAGGTGTCTTTACCTCGGACATTTTTATCATAAATTTTTTAACTTTTTTTTTCTCCCTTGAAGGAATTCTGTAACTAGCTATTTACGGGAGACGTTTAATGCATGAATCTGTATAATTTGGAGCCTTTTAAATTATGGGTGTGGTGTTAAATACGTGTTATTCTTAGCGGTGTACAGGGATGGTCATTGTACCGAAACGAACCGCATCACTTGCTTAATCTCATCACCATGGTAACAATATTCAAACATTAGACATTACATGGGTCACTTACAAANTCGCTCAACGAAGTTCTGCGCTGATTCAGTTCGTGCTTTAATCGGTTTATATATTATGAGTGTGTTTTCACAAAAAAATATAAAATTTAAATATATAGGCCTATATACAATTTTATAGTTATTCAAGAGGAAAACTGATGAAAACAAGTCAACTAATCACAATTTAATATTTAAAAACAATGAGGAAAAATGTAAATTTGTAAATACAGGAAAGAAATATTGTTTTCAAGTTACAAAATTTGAAAGTAATTCGCCTATTTTTAGGGAAATTTCAGTTTATATTATGAAACATTTTAAAATGTAAATAATTGATTTCTTTACATAAGATTTTAAAAATTTCAATAAAAAATAAAGGAAATATATGAATAAAATTTTCCTACAATAAGGGAATAATAAGGAAAAAATAAAGAGAATACCAATAAAATTTCCCTGCAATAATGATTTCATAATTAAGCTTATATAAAATATAAGTTTATGTATAAAGTAAGACTTCATCTGCTGTATATTTTCTACTGTGCAAAGTTATTTAATGTATAAAATAGCCAGAGGAATAGAAGGAAATGTTATTTAAGATACAAAAATGGATAGAATTCTATTGAATATAATAATAAAAAAAATTCTACAGAAGAATTAGAGAAATGTTAGACTGCATCTTAATATATTAAACATATGCGATTTGTTTGTATTCAACTCAGATCAATAGGAATAAAATCGTTTTATTAAAAATTTGACAGGGGCTAAATTAAAGAAAATATTCGAAGCTTTAAACAGGAACCCAATTATAAATTCTCAACCAGATTTATTCATCTAAAGAACGGATGTCGTGACGAATGAAATGTACTAAGTGTTTTTAGACAATGAATATTTAACAAGTAGCATTCAATTGAATACCCAATTAGTTTGACAAGATTTACAATAGAATAAAAAAAAGAAAACAATAAACAACAACAATGTATAACACTTGTATTGTTCTCATAAATCTCTTCAAAGTGCTTGAAAAATTTTATATATTCACTCTGGTCAATATATTGATTGGTTAAGAAATTGTTTGCTACAATGTTACATTGATACGATATCGAATTCCTCTAACTGGGAGATATTTATCCAAGTATTAAAGTTGCTATTATTAACTATTTTGAATTTATATAGGAACTTTAGTTAAAGATATCCAATAGTAATGTATCTACGGTCTTGTCGGATTGACCGATAATTGCAGATAATTTAAAATAACGTTGGTTATTCCTTTCGGAACTTTATATTCTGTGAATTTTGCTTCGTATGTACGTGATTTCCTTTTAGTTGATTGTGTAATTAAAGCGTTTCTAAACTATTTTAAAGTTTTGAAATTTATGTAAATGCATAATTTAACAACGGAATGAATGAATAATGAAGTGAAGCAAATCTTACCATTAAAACTAGGTTAAAATTTTAAACTTTTTTTTGGTAGTTTGTGAACTTAAGTAACTTATGTTAGCTCGTAAGGCATTCCACTAAAATTAGAGGGCCCTCTGTGATAAGATTTACTTTATCTTCTAATAAAGCTGGTGATAGGGCCTCCTATTTACGAGTATTTGTTACAAATTATTCTATCTATCCAATTCTTTGTGCATTCAGAACAAATGTTTAGTTAAAAGATACAATATTTTAAACGCTTTTCTTAATGAAAGCGGGTGCGCCCAGGTGTTTTCAGGTTTTTGCTTTCGTGTCTAACACAAATAAGGGGTAGTTTCCCACAAAGTCCTACTGAAAACTTTCTCTTCAGAGCTTTCTTCATGTGTCTAACACCTTAACAGGGACCAGTTTCTTATAGAAAATCTTCCCGGGAGGCACACAATTCGGCAGATCGCCCAAAGTGTTGCGTTGCCTTCTAACATTCCAATACACTGGAGGGGTTGGAATGCTAGAATATAGAATATAGGTCCCAAAATATCTGGGTAGGATCGTCGGATTCGGTTTTGTTGAAGCTAAAACGTTTCCTCATCGAATAATAAATTTAAAAAGTCCGAGGTATAAACTACATCCTCGCTTGAGGCATCGGAAGCCAAGAGAAGCTCCAGAGACGTAGACAACGGTTGAATTATCTTGAATGAATTGTATAATTGGATGAATCTTTCAAGGATTTTAATAAACTCAATTAAAATAATAATGATCTCAAAAATAAATATTTATTATATTCAATTATTCGTTAAAAAAATACATAAATAATTACACAGTAATTACGAAACGTGCTCGGTTCGTTGTTCCAATTTCGCGAATCAATTTAGTTCGTATTGTGTCTTATTGTTTACGTAATGTGCTCAGAATAGAAAATATACAACGATTCTTTCTCTTCTATTGATTTTCTTTTCTTTTCCGGCGAGTAATTTGAAATAATAAAATTATATTTTTCTCTTTTTTTCCCTCTTCCTGTTATTCAGACGAGTCATTTTAGCGGTCGAATTATGTTACCTATAACATATAAAAAAAATATTTTATAAGGCGAAGTATGATTGGTTAATTCAAAATTTTAAATTTATTTTAGGTAAAGTGGACTGCCTAATAGACGATGAGGTAGGATGGTTCGAACCGACAAACGTTTACCAATGTGAAGATAATGCTAAATGTTGTAAAGAGTATGGAAATCCTTCATGTTGCGCGGAGAAAGATAAATCGGCGATTGTGTAATAAATTTAAATTTTTTTTTTAAATTTTAAATAATTTCTTATAAGTTGAATTATCTCAGGTGGCGTTTTTTTAAATACGCAAATACGCCACCTATCGATTATTTTAAAAATTTTAAATTCGAAATTTTGCAGACGATGCGTGTTTTAAAATTTAAAATGCGCCACCTGCACGATTGATACATTTTAATTTTAAAAAATAAATAAATATATATATTTTTTAAAGGAGAGACCAAGCTATATTATGGGGTGGACTACTTGGATTTTTGACGGTATTAGGCATGATAGTTTTCTGCAGAAGATCCGACTTCTACGTTATGGAAAGCAACATCGGTAGTAAATTGAAATGCTGCGGCAAATCTTCAGAAAAGCAACCTCTGGAGGAGACCAAAGAGAACCAAATCCCTAAGCATTAAAAATTTGAAAATTTCGCACGATAGTTAATTAGCCTGCGTGTATAAATATTTAAAAGAAATCGTCTAATAAATTAATATTTTATCTGATACTTACCTGTTTTATCTCTACATTGATCGGGCGGTTTGGGGAATTGGGTGCAATTAATACTTTCAACAACCGTTGGCCTCAGCATCGATCTACACGAATCTAAAAACTCTAAATGTTCACGGAAAATTGCGTTAGTACACGAAATTTTCCATTATATATATATATATATAAAATCATGTTTATTACCTTCGCAGAAATCGCGGCACGGATATGTCAACTTATTATCTTTACAGTCGGGTTGTAGCAATTGGCAAATTAATTCTTGTGCAAAGGGATAACATTCGAAATCAACTATCTGGCGAAATCTCACTAATTCATGAGTTGCCTCTTTGACAGATTCGTGTCCAACTAAATTAGGATAAGAGGTTTGATTGTAGGGTAGCGTAGTACAAAAATCGATGTGTAGAGCAATGCATTTACGAACATCAAGCACGGGAGTTATTTGAGTCGTGGTTGGAGTCTCTAAATAACCAGGATAATGCCTCCGTAAGGTCCAAACCGTGGGCGTATGGTCACCTGGGACTCTTTCTGTAATAAAATAAAAGGAAAAAAAGAATTCTAATAATAAAATAAACCGTGTTTACTTCTACACAATAATGTTATATCTATAAAACTCGATGATTTATCCATATCATAAACAGGTTGAACAAATAATATGGTCGATGAAAGTTCTATAAGCTGGTATACATTTATCTTGGCACCGAATCGATATGAGGGCGGGCTATAGTAAAAGCTTGTTTCCTCATCATTCTTGGAAGATATAAAAAAAATAACCCCGAATTCTGTTGAATAAAACCGCATTCTATCACTTTTATCATCGCTCAACTTCAAAATTAATTTTTAAACGCGTTTTTAAAAATAGATGGGAATGATAATATAGGTTATAAAAATTCTATTACAAAATTAATCTTAACTTAAAACTAATTAAGACAGAATTGTATATATTTTGAATTTTTATAAAAATTTAAAAAATTCGCGCAACTATATTTAATTTTCGTGTAACTAACGAAGTGACACCGGTGAAGGTTGTGACGAAATCGATTATATAAGAATAATATGTGAGCAACGAGACCTTTCGTCTAAATTGCCTGTTTTTTATTTATTTATTTATTAACTGATCGATATTGATTGATTGATTCTTACCTTCGATGTGTATCGATTCGTAATCGATCCTAATCCCTTTTAATAGGACGGATTTGCGTTTTCTCACTTCCTCGATTAACACAACATAAAGATCAGTAGCGGTGATAGAATTGCTTTCGTCTACAATTAGATGAAGATTAAAATGAACCAACAATCCTTTATCATCCCTTAAAACGCATAAAAAATTTATTAATATTAATATTATTATTATTAACCTTACAAAAAAAGAAAAAACAAAATTAAAAGAGTAAAACCAACCTTCCGAATGCCAAAATTTCCGATTGGCGGAAATGATCCTTCAACGAGCTTGTATTGTAAAGTTTGTCCAACTGAAAATAAATTTTCGCTTGTTAATTAATCAATTAAAAATTTAATTTTAAAGCTTAATTACGATGACATTAAATTATAACTTAATTATAGACTTTAATCTGACGTCGTAGCGGGTCGCGTGAAGCCCTCCTAATCGCGTATTGTTCGTTGATCGTGTTACGATTTATATTATAAATTCAAACAAGCGTTCTTTTATTTACGTGCATATTGATAATTAATAAATGATATAAGAGAGATTATTTGTTTAATTATAATTGCAAATGCTCATGAATGTTAAATATTTACATGGAAATTTTAATTACTATATTTTGGTAGAAGTAAGCTTTCTTCTGGAATTCGTGAGATAAAACATCATCCAGCTGTCTTGTGTAATTATCTCCATTAGTTACGATAAATTTTCCTTTAAATATTTTATCTAAAGTTTAAAAAAATAATAAAAACAAAATTTTAAAAAAGTACTTTGTAATTAAAAAAGTACTTTGTAATTAAAAATATATTAATTGAGTTATTACGTTAATAAAAAAAAATAATAATAATAATAATAAACCTTACTATTATCGGATCCGATTCCCAAAAAATGAACTGAAAAATAATAACCAATTAATTTAAAATCAGTATGTTTGTGCGGAATAGAAAGTCACGTGACCATCGTAGCCAATTAAGCGATGATATTTTAAAAGTCGACATTTGAAATCGACCAATCAGACAGAAAACCGTTTTTTTAAACGCAAAAACGAAAAAGTAATACTCGATTTACGTAAAATTAATTACGTAATAAAAATTTATTTAGTAAATAAACATTTTATTGGATAAAACTGAGAAAAAAAAGCACCAGATCAATTCGAAATCACGTCTATTTTGTTGATACGGTTGTAGTCACGTGACTAGCTTATTACCAAAAAAAATATGCGTAATACTTAAAAATATTTAAATAGAAAATTTTAATTAATAAATATTAATTACGTCCAAAATAAACTCCAGCGGCAGCTCCTAACGCAACGAACATAAAAGCGACAATTATGCAAATACAGGATACTGGGGTACATCCGGTTTTAGTGAATTGCACGTCGTATCTAGGAGAAGTGGAGTAGCACGTCGGCCTAGAATCTAAGGCATCCTAGAAATATTTAATATACGAAACAGCTCTTAATATTTTGATATTGATTCATAACAACGGCAGGAATAGGAGATTATTTACTAAAGTAGATAATCCGCACGTGTAACTGAGGGGGCCAACACGTGACTTACAACACGTTATTGATGTACTGTATTTTAAAACCACGATATATACATAGAAAATGAGGCCTTTTTTAAAGACAATTTACGCAAGAAAATTCGATTTTAGAAGCGATTAAATGTACTGTACATACCTCGGCACGATCTGCCATTTCCTATGTGTTTACGCTTCTACACCAAGTGCACTGCACCTTGAAGGTGTGCTACGGGTCCTTGAGCATCGTCGGCCAATGTACTGTCATGGGTTCCTGAAAAGAAACGTCTTGGTCCACTAATCTCCCGCGTATTGGGCGTTAGTTTTAAAATAACTGCGTTCGAATCTCTAAATATATATCATTGTATCTTCCGCAATGTAATTTTTTTTCTTGTTTTTTAACAGACTACATAATTGTAGACCCACTTGAATTTTGTTTTATGTTTGATTATTCAGTTTCCGTTAAGAGAATAAGGTCCTTCGTATTATAAAAATAGGAAACTGAAGGGTGGAGTGCTGCAACTCATGCTTCTATGATCACAAGAATATAAAAAAGAAACATGACAATTGTTGTGTGTGTTCATGTGTCTCTCTCAATAGTTTATAGTAAAAATGCATCTTTTTCTTATCTTCACATGTAATGCGGTTATGATAGAATTAAATGGACTATTAACTTTTTGTGGATAGCAAATTAATATTTCTTTGTTACTTGTTTTTGATGGGGGAGGTAATTATTAGATAATTATGAACATCCTTGCCTAGCCACTGATTTACTTGGAAGATTTTAATCTTTTAAACTTTACCATCCTGTTTATATACTCTAACATGGTTTATAACGCAACCTACTTTTCACCATTTATATTATAACAACTCCCTTAATGCCTTATAATCCTATAACACCCCTTGATGCCTTATAACCTTATAACAACCTCCATTGATTTTAATTGTTTTAAAATATAGTTAAAGGACAACTATTCAATCGTTACATAAAGAAATATAAAATTCTATAACAGCTGCACTCATTTTCACGCTTAACAAATTACTTGTTAAAGGAACTTGAGGCCCTGTTTTGGTTTCCTGTACCGGATTTAATTTTTAGAAGCAAGAAAAAAAATATATATCTTTATTAAATGTATTTATATATATATTTTATAGCCACTCTAGTAATAAAACTATTGTTTGTGGATGAGAGACTATAAACTGCCATTCAAAAAGCTAACAGAATGGCTTCCTTGAAAGGATCTAGGATGAATAATTACAAATTTTTTTTATGAGATGTGGCTAAAGCGAAATAAAAATAAGGAATTATACTGAAATATCTAGGCCAAATAATTCAAATTTTTAGTGAAATTTGGCTAAAATAAAATGAAAATAAGTAATTTCGGTGCATCTTTAAGGCTTGGTTAAACGACTTTATGAACTAGAAGTAGGAGACTTTATAGAAATAGTTTTATGCTTTCTCCAAGCAACTACTGGTAATATTTTAATACAAAATAGGTTTATTTGTTCTACGAGACTTACGGTAATTTAAACAATTCGTAAATGGCATGTAATTTAGAAAGTTACACTACAAACAATATCCCATTCACGGTTGGATAATCTCAGCAGAAATGATTACGCCGAGAGATTTTTATCTTCTTACTTAGAAAAACAAACGAGTTGAATTCCAAAAGTTTTCTTGTTATTTATTCTTACAAGAGGAGTTCATTAAAAAGATTTTTCAAATAAATTTACACAATAATTTCATAAAATTATTTCATTCTTGTAGCTTCGGTTTAGTTCTTTATGTGGCAATACAATAGAATTTAATACAATTACTTCAGATGGGACTTGAACATTGCAGCCTACAAAATTCAATGGCAACAGTTGTAATCTTGTGTTTAAGAGGAGAGAGAAAAATAAAAAAAATGTACAATTTTCTCCTTACCTAATACAGTGATTGAAGGATTTAATCTTCCATTATTATTAAACAAAGGTACATTTTCCATTTTGGCAAAAGGTTTATTAGGATTAGGATCACACGGTGTTCCTTCTATTCTTGTCCAAGCTCCTACGGTGCTGTTCCATCCTATTATGCTGTGAAAGATCAACACATGATCCTAGAAAGATGTTTTAAAGATGTTTAATACTATTAAATAGTCAAAATTTTAATTATTTAGAAGCTAAACATCATTAAAAATTCTTAAATAATATTTTTAATCATCAATTAGTTGTTAAGAGAAGCTATATTTTAAATTATTTATTGAAAAAATTTAATTAATTAGACTATTTTGCACACTAAGAAAGAAGCTAATGCATTATTTTTCAATCTGAATCTCAAATTTTTTTTCTTTTCAATAAAATCAAAATATCATTAAATTTATTTCTATTCCATTGTTACACTATCCAGGTCATATAATTTACAAATTCAACCTTTAAATTATGTACTGATGTGGAACAATGACTTCCTCTTTGTAATAAAAAACAGGAATTCAATATATTTATGGACAGTGCATTTCAAAAATTGATTGTTTATCATAATTTTAGTTAAAACATGTTATAACAGTCAATGAACTGGCTTCATTAGCTTAAAATAAGGAAAGGAGATGTAAATACTGTAATATACAGTGAGTCCATAAGTCAAACTATAGGAGTTACATTGAACTTTTTATTATTTAACAGGTAAAACTAAGAAGAAATTAATTGAAGTTATTCTACTCTGATAGTGGATGCCCACAGTAAGCATGAATTTGCCAGGGTGTTTCAGATCTCCCACCAATCATACCCAGCAGTCTGGATGCAGCCTGTTAAACTCTTTGGCATAGTCACACTGATTGGAGATTCCCATCATATTAATTTGAATTTGTTCTTCCTTACTCAGTGCCATGCTTTAACCTGTAAAAGAGTAAACAAAGACCAATATAACTCCTATTTATGGGACACCATCATGGACATCACAGAAAATTTTCCAGGGGAATAAAGCTTGGAGATAATTAAATAAAAATTTATTGATTTAATTTATTTAATTTTTTGGAGTTTTTTCACAAGTATATTATAGAATACAGTATTGCATAACAGCACCCCATGGTCAAGGATGTAAGTATATCTGAATCAATTTTATGATTATAATTTGTGGAATTTTTTACTTGATTCCAGAGAGAAGCAAATGCCCCATTTTCCTCCTCTGTGGACAGCCATGAAAATATCCAGTACATAAAATATGAGCAAATAAATTCTCTGAAATTTATTTTCCTACAAGTTTAATGAAGTTATTAGCATATCAGATTGCACAAAAGCACTAACAAAGAAAGGAGTTGTGATGCTCTTTTATAAAAGTGTATATAAGATAAAGCTCCATATCAAAGGACTTGGTATTGATTTTGTATAAGATGTTGGCGCTAGTACGGGACCAAGATTGAAGATCGACAAGAAAATAGTCGGTGAACCATAAATCAGTTAACTACGTTTTGTTTTGTGGTGAATCTTAATTGCGTGCAGAACAACACACTTTACATTTACAAAATTGGCGATATTTGATAATTACAGTTGTGGAACCTCCAATGATGGCCACCTCTAAACAGAGACTATTTTTTCAGCAATTCTTTAACAAAAATGCACACAGAATACTCCCAAACAATGGTCCTTGACAGATCGTTCACGTATTATATTGTCTTATCCCATTAATCCAATTCCATAATGAGGCAGCTGTAAAGGCTTTTAATTCTCATAAAATAGAGCATGTGCCTAATAGAAAAGCATAATAATAATAATATAATATCTACCAAATAACAGCAGGACAAGTTTATATAAGCTAAACAAGCTACTGTTTAAAGCCTTAAGCTAAAAGATTCTTCGATCCATTCTCAATTAAAAAGCATTACCCGCTATTATTTAGCAAAGGAAGAAGGGCATCTTGTATATTATAGTTTAATAATATACAAGAGGGCCACAACGAAACTAAATTTGGCCCTGATTAAGCCAAAAATCCTTTTGTTTTTCTTTATAAAACACGCTGTAAATTCAGTTGAACTGATTCATAGTGGAAAGTATTCTTGGTGCCAGGGTTGGGCTTAGGCTTGTTGTAGCTTTAACCTATAAAATATAACAGGCTCTTTCCTCCTAAATAACCTGTAAAAATGTTAGGCCCTAAGCTATAGACTCATAATGCGAGGCCCTAAGCTGATGTTTGTTTAGCTCGTGAGCGCAAATCCGGCCGTTTGGAGCAGAAAGTATAACGTGGTTAACTAACTTTTGGGCCGATTTGTTATAATCATTATCTCTAAATTATCATGTTGATTAATTGTAAATATTATGGCAAGAATAAATCAATTGTTTATCTGTCACAAGCAGTTTTAGGCTTAGGCAAGATAATTTTTGCCTGTGGTCTCGCCCTTTTAGGCCCTTAAGGGCCTTAACTGGCTTGCGGGCATATTTAAATATGCCATAANCCCGCAAGCCAGTTAACCATCGTTTAGACTACATTGCAATTAACTAATTAAATTAACAAAAGTATACAATACAGTTATGTTTATTAGTTAATTTAGTGTTTAGCTAATTAGATACAAATTAATACAGTCAAACCTCTGAACAGCAGCCACTGTCGAAAGTTTCTATAGAAAACTGGCCCTTATTTAGGTGTTAGACATGTGAAGAAATCCTGGGAAATTCTGTGTGATCAGTGTATTGCTGAGGCGCGAACACGCGACCAGTGTTCAGTGTTTTATCCATTTGTCATAGTGCGATTTTATTGCAATTTTGTGAAATTTTCTTACAATTTTGAAAGATTTTCTCGCAATTTTCTGAGATTTTAATAGTTTTTATTAAAATAACGATTAGAATTTAATTTGAGAACCTTTTTTTTTTATAAATCGGTGGTGTAAGACTAGTTTAAAACAGGGATTAACAACGCGAATTTGCAAGATTTCAAGCAAAAAAAGATTTAAAATTCGCTATCATTAAACAGAAAAATTGTTCAAGGAAAACGCTGTTCATAAATTAAATTAATAATAATTTAATTTATAGAAGAATTAAATTATAATTATTATTAAAATAATTAATAGAAGAATATTTATAATTATAATAGCCTGAAAATTACTTTTTATCAGTCAACAAGAACGATAGTGCGTTAACAAATCCCCTTACAACAATCGATAAACCAATAAACTTAATTTCATTAATGTGTAGAGATTTTAATATTGTAACATATTAACGATCGAATGAACTGAATACTCATTTGTATCCATTTCGTCCGTCTGCCGACCTATTCACAACATAATGAGATTAATAACTAGCGTTATTAGGTTAAATCAGCGCAGATTATATCAATAAAATCAAATTTCACTTCAAATATACATAATTTGAAGACAAATAGTTTGGATTCTTCATAACTTGCGCCATTCTCATTCAATAGGATTGAACTGATAGAGTAAGGTAACGCAACATAGAGGCCAGCTGCCAGAACCTCCAGGAAGGATTTTCTATGGAAAACTGGCCCCTACACGTGAAGAAAATCAGGGAATCTACATGCGACCAGCGTGATGGTGAGACGAGAACCCGCGACCAATTACCAGTTTTCGATGGTTTTATCAACTGGTGGGCCTTCAGAGGAGGAGGATCTCAAATTTAAAATATGCATATATGAGCGTAAAATTATTCATTTGTCTTCCTGAATTTTCAAAGTTATTCAGCTATGTTATGTATACTGTAAGTTAAGCTGTACTTTAAATTATGTATAATATAATACACAAACACCACGTAATGTAAATAAATCAATTCTTAAGCACACAGGATTATGCATCATGATATCCTCTCCCTATTCAATATATTAATTATTGTGGTAGCCTCTTCCCAGAGGGTTGCAGCTGCATTTGCTGGACATTTGGCCAAGGAATCTTTAGGCCAATTAACGAAGACAGTGATAGAGAGTATGGAAAAGAGCTAAGAGGAAGACCCAGGAAGAGAGTGGAGGAATAACATACATCAATGACTGGTTGGAAACTGATCTAAGAAATGCCCGACACAGGGAAAGATGGATAGAAATGATTAATCAGCCGCAATTTAATAACACTTTTCAGAGCAGTTTAAACAATTAAACTTCAATATAAACCACGAAAACTAAAAAACGCCAAAGAATTCGCGTTATTTTACAAGTAAACAAATGCCTGTATTTGCAGAAATTTTGTGGAGACTTCAAAAAACAAAAAAAAAAAATTAGTAGGTCCCCAGAATATTTGTAAAAAATAATTATCAAGTGTTCTTAGAAGTTTGAAAGTGCGGGACCCCTGTGAGCGCGAGAGAGAATTCAGTCTGAGGCCCGAAAAATTGACATCTGAACCCGCTCTGTATATTTGCATTTTATACAAGTATAACAACAATTTCCAAAAGTTTTTAAGCAATGAAAAATTGTAGAATAAAGAACAGAATGCAATTTCTCGCCAGATAATCGAATCTCCTCGCTTAAATAAGATTAAAAAGAACTTTCATTGCATGTAGTGAACGTACAGTACAATCATTACTTTCACGGAGAGACATCCAAACACAACCCGGTAACAGGAAAAAACACACCGGTGTAATTTTTTCCATTATTATTATTATTATTTATCTCTTGTACGATTTAATCCAAACAAACAAACTTGCAATGGGTAGATTTCGTTCAAAATATCCTATTTTTTGGATTACGTACTGTACATTAATAGATCAATTTGTTTGTAACGCAGTTTCAATCCAAAATTGGATTGGATAGATGGGATAAGAAAACGCGGCACTTAGGAGATCTGCCAAGGAGGGGAGTGTCCCCCGGGAGGACACTGGCTAGACACGTGAATAAACTCCACGCGCTCCAGCTGGTTGGTTATGTATGAACCCACGACAATGGTGTTATCCACTCGGCCACTGGTGAGCTTTATCTAAAATTAGTACGTCAGTGTACGTAAATGCATACATACACTTTGTGTGTGTGTGTGTGTGTGTGTGTGTACCGACACGCCTCTAGTATATAAGGTTCTAAATTTTAACAGTGATATAATCGATCGATAATCCGCTGAAATCCAATAACTAGGCTTTCCATCTCGTCTTTTCGATAACAATTTGCTAGAACATTCATAGTTATATAGGCCTATAA